GTGACATTTCATCTTAACGTGTTATTACGAAGCAATTGGATGTATACAACACAACCAATTATTATTAGATATATAGAAAATATTAAGCTCCTAACCAGACATGTCAGTCCTGTCAAAAAAAAAAAAAAAAACCAGACATGTCAAACTACCAAGTCATCAAATTTTATAGTACTCACATTTATCTATTTTCTGTTAGCCATACATATTTTTAATGATCGGGAAAAGATATTTATTATCATATGGCCGGGCGAAGTTGCAATTCCATGATAATAATGATCTCATAAAAATAAGAGAACTAAGTTGCTCAAGCTGAGCACTATAGCTTTATAAGAGAGATATTTGCTACGTGCATATGAAATAAATTAAAATTAAGCATTTAACTGCTTCGGGGCTCAGGGGGAGACATGAAAATTAGGAGTTCTTTTCTTGTTATGGAATGGGCGGTGGGAAAAGATAATTACTTTTGGGGTCGTGGCTGGCTATGGGCGGTCGTGGCCGGTGGAACTGGGGCCCATTGAAAAGGGCTTTCTTCCCCTTTTTTGGCTCCGGGGTTCTGTGGCCGGGTCGGGTCAAGTAAAAGCGGCGGCAGACGCTCCTCCCCAGTCCCCACCCCAACCCCGAGTGCGATTGCACGTCCAAAGGCAAAAAGGATGGACAGCATACATACGTGTACGATTGATCCCCATCTTTCTCTTGTTGAATATTCGAACCCCATCTTAGCCTCTCCTTGTGAGGTTTAATTTTAACTTTAAAAGGCATTGTCCCTTGCCCGCAGCCCTGCCTTGTACGATGGATACTTCTGTCTTTGATTCTTTGTCTTGCACTCGTTCTATTGTCCTTTAGATAGATACTAGCTTTTACCCGACCCGTTGGTCGGATGAATTTTGTTTTATTTTGATCAATTTTTTCATGTTTTAAAATAATTTGAGATCCTCTCAAATAGTTAATTCATTATTTCAAAGTAATCTTTATTGTATTTGTTGATTATGACATTAGCGGTAATTAGTTAATATTATATGTGTTGATGAAGTCGTCCTAGTTTACGGTTGTTTATATGTTTTTTTTTCATATTTTAGAAAAAAATTGCGCTTCTTATTGTCGGATATAAATTTGGAGTTCGAAGGGAATATATTGCCATTTAGAATTGGTAGGAATTGAAGGAGTAGAACCACATCGAGTAAAACCAAGTGAGATTATTCTGCTAATTACTGCTACCCGGCTCTTTGACCGGATTAGTTTGGTTTTGTGTTGATTAATTATATTTTTTTTGTTCATTATCTTCTGAAATATTTTTGTTCTTAATTGTTACCTAAATAAGTCATTCGATCTTTTATATTTATTTTATGTTCTTGAAAACAAAAAGTGTTCAACTTACCCTCACATGACTAACACGATTTCAATAAATTATCACCCTTATAAAATAAAAATCGAGTCCAACAAAAACTTGAGACTCATCATAACAACTCATGAGTATTCCATTCTTTAATTTTGAAGTCATAAAATTTTTTATTAGGCTTCGAGATAGAATTTATAGTGTTTTAGTGCAATTGTTATATACGGAATTAACCTTTACATTCAATAGTCCTTCAAAACAAAAAAATATTGACACTAAACCGTACTAATCAGCCCATGTAAAGCACGCTCTAAGAATATTATCTTCCCCTGGCTCTTGTATCTCGCTCGATAAGTCGTAACTAAATAGGTAAGTCGTAAGGGAAACCGATCAAATTATATATGTCTACAACAAAATCAAAGAATGCCTAGCTAGCTAGCAAGCTGCAATGGGGCTTCTGGATGCCCTATCAGCGAGTTTTGTTGCAGGCTTGCGGCTACATCAACTCAATGGCCCTCCAGTCGAGATGGAGATTGCAGATTCGATTCACAGCCATAGCAAGCCTAGTTCTTGCAAGAGCTAGGGGCCGCTCTCAAAATCTCTTTGGTCAAAGCTCCATGCCTCCAACGCCTAATGCACAAATCGATTGTAATCTGCCATACCAACACATATATACATGTATAAATTAATAGGTAGGACTTGCACTGTACTATCCCGGGTGCAAAATGAACTGATGGTGCTCGGTCTAGGCTTGTGATTCTACAATTCCTTATTTTCAAACACACAGTAGTTTTTTTATTGTTTGCTTTAAGATTAAGAAAGCTATTAGTATGTTTATACCATTTCCTTATAAGTATGTTTGTATTCATTGTCTAAAAAGGATGTCTATTACAGATTAACAGTGGCAGATAGCAATAATGTCAGAGCACCATCCACTCAGGCATCATTGCATCAACTAAAACTAATTACCCATGCAGAATTAATTATGTTGATTAATTGAGAATGAGAAACATAAAAATGCCACAGCTTAGTAACTTCTCTGTTTAAAACCAAAACACAGCTAGTAGTGATAATCATAAAGCTAATTGGCCACCTACATCAACCAAAATTACAGCATCACATAAATATTACTAACCTTATTAATAGTTCCTCAGTTCAATCTTGACAACGATCCTGTAAGTTGATCAAACTACTCAACCAAAACAGGAAACTCCCATGTTGTGAAAATGAATTCATTTATGTTCTGCAGACTGAAAAGCACGAAAACGCATCCAAATAGTCATCTCCAGAATCTGAAGTGATAAAGAATGGACGCCTGTAAAAATGGCAGCAGAAATTCCCCCCACAGTGTTAGCAAGTTAGCAGAAAAAGTAGGATAGCTCACAGCAACAAACATAACAAATCCTCCTAAGTCTCAACTATAAATTATGTAAACAATAGCGTGCTGAAGGGCCATCGAAAATGATCGAGTCTACGTGTTGGCGTAATAGCGGCCGAAAATTTAGGTACACAGCAAGCAGCCAGACACCAAGACACGGTGCATTTGGCCGACTTAGCAATCTCAATTAGGATTTTTCACGACCCAATTGAGAAACAGAGAAAGGTAAGGGAAACATTCAGTGGCGGAGCTAGCTTGGAAGAGGGTGGGTCCCCGGACCCACCTTGGCTCGAGATTAAATGCTTGTTTGGAAGTTGCGATTGTTAAATATATGTGTTTATACGAAATCCAATCTCACAATACAAGTAACAATCTCACGTAAACAATCGCAACTTTAAAACGACCCCTAAGACACAAAATAACAGTATTTGTACGAAACCCCTAATGTTAAAATCAAACCCCTCATGTTCACTACTTTTCTACTAACATATTGTAGAGAACTTTATAGCACATATTAACCTTACATATTATGTAATTAACTCTAGATTTTTACATAAAACTACATCTCTAATGGTTTATTCTTAGTTTTTTTATTTGTAATTTAGGGTAAATTTCTCCATCCTCAAACGAAAATCGGTCGACAAACTATAAAAACACATCGTGGGTCATGTAAATATTAATTATATTTATCATATATATTTTTATTTTCACGTCGGACCCACCTTGAATGAAATCCTGGCTACGCCACTGGAAACATTCATGTATGGTAAATCAGTAACATACTTGACGAATGATTTAAGGATCCAAAATCCCAATTGACGCATCTACACCACTCACCTAGGATAACCCAAACTCACGGGTTGCAGTGGGTGACACTTAAAACGACGACCTAGTTAGTGAAATGTAGCAGATGGCAAGGTGGAAACACTCCTTTCTTGTGCTTATGATATACATAATTTTTATAAGTAAGAAAATACTATGTATTAACTAAACCAATCCCCTGCATCCACAATTAACTTAAAAGAAACCTGTTCTACCGAGACCACAGAACAATAGTAGAACTCTTATCATGTCTCTCCCTTGCTTCAACTTGAGCTTGGCTAGTATCTAAACACTAATAAAAGCTTTTGTTCTGGATGTAATATCCTATTCAAATTTCGAGTTGTTAGCAAATTAGAATAGTCCTAATAAAGACAATAGATTCTAGTCGGGACTCGGGAGTAAACTGCTCTCTTTTGCCTCAATTGGATTTAGCCAGATATCATGTTGTCTATGTTGTCAATTAAATTAATTGAGATGCAATAAAAACTACAGCAAAATGTATGTAATGCTGAGGAACATGGAGAAGCTGTACATTAAAAAAGCTCTTAGACAATAAAGAATACTAAGAATCACGACAGAATTTCATAAGCAGTAGATTTACCCTTGGCCTCCTAGGTTCTGGCTAGTATAAATCATGAAAATGAGGTGTCTCGACCTTAAAAAAAGATTTCTAAAGTAAGTGGTCAACTTTTAGTTCCTTAGAATAGCCACTACAGACTGAATTCCTACATATGAAATATTTGTAACAGAGATATGATTCCAGTCATTCCATATGGAAACACTTTTGACTTTTTAATGGAAACTAACGGGAAAAATCATTCCAAATCAAGAAAATGATGATGACGAAAATGATAATAATCAACCAAATCAGCGAAAAGTATAGTTATGCCTCCTATATCAAACCAAACACGACCTGAAGGATTAACCAAAGAAACCGATGGTTATGATATTACCCATTATTGCAAAAGAAACTTCATAACCCACCAGTCCGCTCTCAAGTGAGGATATCGAAGACATTTCCGCTTCACTCTGCAGCATCATCAATAGATTTTTACAATGGAACCCGCTCTTTGATTACACATGTGTCCTACCGACCAAAACCTATGGTCCTTGTTCCTACCTGAAATATGAAATACTTTCACTGATGCTCTAGGTTTTGCTCAGTTTTGCAACTGAATTCCTGTTTTAAGCTGAAATCAAGGAAGTTCTGGTTCTGTTAACATTGATCTATGAGCTCTATAGTCTAAACCAATCCTTTAATTGATTCTATTGGTTGAATGTTAATTAGGATAATCAAAAGCCATTTTCAAGAATTTAGCTCTGATAGCTGACCATGTTCCTTAGGCAAAAAATGAGGTGATTAGACAAAACCATAACGACAAACCCCACATAGCAAATATGAAACACAGTATGTGTGGAGACACTATCAAACCCCACAATTTCATTTATCGACATTATAAGAAAACACCCATGCATATCCTTTATCCCGTCGGCAGGCACACAATTTCATTCATCGCCATTATAATTACACACCAATGCCTATCATTTACCCAGTCGACGGAAAATCTTAAGTAAATGTAATTAATATAAAACTTACCTGCCAACAGTATGGCGGCTCCAAATCTGACACGCTAGCAGCAGTTTGGACAGTATAGAAACAGCAACAAAGCGGAACACGAGGAAAATCGGGAGGCAGTGGCTAACAAATTCAGTCCACTGCCAACTTCAGTTTCATCTTCCTCTCCCTTGCACTTTGATTGAAAACCTGTACAACCCATATTGGAAAACCATCGACTTTCATTACATAGCTGGGTATTTTCCCACAAGGCAACTGGAGTAGGCAATGGAGAGTGCTCAATATGAGATGGGGGTGGCACTTTCATTACATAGCTGAGTTTTATCTGAAAATGGACTGCTTGATCAAGAAGTAGGTAATGAAGAGTGAATTGTAAGTCTTGAAAAGCATAAAGGTTTTTATGGTTAGATGATCCAGAGAACTTTATAATTGATAACCAAGCACGAACAAAGAACTGAATTGTAAGTTAACCATAAAGTGAACTTTATATGAAAAGTTGCATTGACTATTTTGGTAGATTTCGACAGCATCTCATATTGAGCACTCTCCATTGCCTACATCTTGATATAGCAGTCCATTTTCATATAAAACTCTACAACTCCTTTGTCATTAGCGTCAACATAAATGAAGTTTCTTTCGTTCTTTCCAATTTGGAATTTCCACCCGCCTGAAGTTTCTTTCATTCTTTCCCATTTGGAATTTCCACCCGCCTATATCTATCTGCTTATTAAATTTACCTAAAAAGGGAACATTAAAAATACCAACAGAGAGCTTACTTCGAATCTTAGCAGTCAAAGGAATGTCGTGAGATAGTGGTCGAGGTGGATGTAGGCACTTCTGGTCTTCGAACACAAAACTGGGAATCAACAACACTTTGCGGAAAACATCCAAAACTCCATTCCTCCCACAAGGGATCGCCCCAAGTGCGACCTTGATGCTAACGAATTGACTCTGCTGTCAAGAATCGCCGGAACAGAAGCTTGTGGGAAGGAAGACAGCTGCCGAAAATCCGATCGATGGCACGCGTCTTCCAGAAATGAATCAATGATGGAAGAGTTCGTTTGCTGCGGGCGAGCGACCTTCAAATCGACTTCATGAACCGCGACCCGCAGGGTAGAAACGACGGTGGAACGGAGAGAGGAGGAGTTCAACAGGCGGCTCCAAACCTGTCGCGGTTCTGGGGCAATTGGTGGGTGCAGCGATTTCCTAATGGACCCTAGTAGAGGAAGCCACCAATTGGAAGACAGACCTGGCATAGCAGAGAAATCAATTATAGACGGTTTGGAGAACCGCCGCCTGGGCAGTACCAGCAGTGCGCAATTACCTGATAGAGAGGATAGAAGTGAATCTCTGGTGGTAAGCCGCAACCTGCGAGGGAGTTCTGCTGGTCGCCGGAGATCAAAGCCTCGCTCGTCCACAACCTCTTCGCCGACGAGATCGGCCGCTGCACTCCCAAGCGCGATCTCCCCCCTACCAAGTACTTCCATTAGAGAGTTGCCCATTCGACTTTGTTGTAATTAGGGATTTCGATTGTAACTTTTTTGATTGGGGATGCGGCTAGAGTGGAGGCAACGTATATCATTATGCTCCTGTCAGATGCAAAAAGGAAAGAGGAAGAGGAAGAGGAAGGAGGAGCGTTCCAAAAAAAGCCCGAGGAAGGACGACGGTTGCAGGCGAAATCCCGCCTAAATGGACTGCCATGTCAGCCTCCTAAAATCACTCCACGGGCAAGAAAATTTGAATGGGGATGCAGTTTTACTTTTCAGCTATAAATTATACTGTTGATATTTGGATCAAATAGTTCATTAAAATAACTTGTTCGTCAATATTTTATTCTTATTTAGAATGTGACTTATTTATAGATCATTAAATGAATTATTCTAAATAATTCATATCTCGTGTTCAGGGGGTGGACCGAACTATAAGAGGAGTCTGTCAGTCAACACACTTGTGCTGGAAAATTTTGCGAGAGACTCAAGTTTCGTTGGTATAAAATATTTGAGCTCGAGCGCTTCGACATACTTTCAATAATTGTAACTGACACACATCCATTACATTGTTATGAAGTTATTAAACATGTAAATATATGGTTATCAAACTTCAGGCTAGATAGTTAATTAGTAGGTTCTCTGAGAGTAAATAATCAATTGGCTAGTTAGTACGTAGTATATGATAGTAACAAAACATATGCTATTTTATTATTTGGACTCATTTGTCGGGTTATTATTGTTTATGACATTAATGAGGGTTTATTAAGATTATTGGTGAGAAGGTACTAGTTTCGGTAGTTATACGAGATAGCCCGTCTTATATATATTGCAAGTGGGAATTATTTTCACTAACCAAATTTAGAATAATCGAATACCCAAATCGAATGTCCTCTCTCTTCCCTCTTCCCACGTTCTCCCTCTCTTCCCCACTCTTCTTCCTCTGCCGCCAAGCAGCTTTTGCCCCATCTTCCTTCTTCCGCAATTCTTTCCCATTTCTTAAATTCCTATTTTTCTATCAAGTTCTCTAAATAGCATACCAGATAGAAAATGTTACTATCATTTGGTATGAGGAGAAATTTTACAATGCTATATAGCATTGGTGCTATAGGTTTTTGCCTTTATGGTACAACTTCAAGTTGTGCCTTTAACGTTATGGTATAACTTCAGCTTGTACCTATACTATTTTACTAATTCTTTTATGGTACAACTTGAACTTGTACCTTTATATGATGGTACAACTTAAAGTTGTGAAGTTGTACCATATCATAAGGGTACAAATTCCTTTATGGTACAACCCAAACTTATACATTTTACGTTATGGTACAATTTTAAGTTGTACATTAAAGCACCAATGTTTTATAGCATAGTAGAAGTGCTCTTGGTATGAGAGCCTGGTTTTGAGAATGAGTTACCATAATTCTAGACCGGGGACGATTAGAGATGTGAAATGGCAATAACCAAATAAAACAAATGCAGTGGAGAAAGTCGCGGAGAAAGTTGCACAAGAGAAGATCCTGCCAGAGATGATGGTGCAGGAGGCGATCGATGGTGAGAAGAGGCAAACACCGTTGATGCGACTATCACGGCTCCGACGTCGAGGTCGGCGGCGAGAAGAGCGGGCAAACAAGACGAAAAGGTGGAGGATGACACAGATCTACGGGAGATCAAAGGTATTGTGAACCACGTGGTTGATATGCAAGTGGGCCTCGATCAGGGATTGCAGAAGGGGGACTCCTCTATCCTGACTGTGGGCGTGACTATAGAAGGAATCAGAGAGGATTTCCAAACGTTCCAACGGATGATGATGATGATGATGATGGAGTGGATGTATGTGACGAGAATTCCACAGGTGAACAGCGGGGCGCGACTACCAAGGCTACGATGGCCTTAGAGGCGGTGGCGGCTTTCAATACCAGCAAGATGACGATAGTGGTTAAGGCGACACAAGAGGCAAAACCATCGGGTGTGGAGGCGAGAGGCGTGCAGGCCAAGTCGCGAGCGTGTCACAATAAAGGGATGGGATACTACCCACCCCGATGACCCAAGAGATAGCAGCGGCCCGTGGAAAGGCAAAGATGGCAAGCTACGACAACATAGTCCCAGTGTGACCTATGGGTCGATGGAGCTTCCATCCCAAGAAGGGAAAATTGAACTCGTGGTGGGCCAAATCTGATGAGTTTGGTTAGGCCAGGACATGACCCATAACAAGCTAAGTCTAGTCGAACGTTCTGGAGCGTGGGCCGACCCGACCATAAGCAGCTAGGTCTAGGTCGAGATAGAGGGTGGAACCGGACTGAGGAAGATGGGTTGAACTGGACCGATCAGACCAAAACCAGACGAATGAAGTAGAGTGGATCAAGATTGATCAGACCGGTCTGACCAAAAACCAAGGGTCACAGGCAACAAGGTGGTACCGAGCGGGAAAGGACACCAAGGCAACTCCGATGCGTTCTACCCACCTCTAATGACTCATTGGACTGAGAAGAGGAATTCGAGTAGGTTTCAGGAACTCGGGCGCGAGGCGTGGGTGGGATCAGGAGGTTATGTGAGCTACTCCGAGGATGATTAGTATTGCAGAGAGAAGCTGGGCTACCCCAATCCTCGATAAGGGAGACAACAATGTAGGGAGGTATGGTGACTAGAACCCATGTTGGCTGGTGATAATGATCTTGTGTTCAGAGCTAGGCCGCCGACTATTGAGTTTCAGAAATTCAATGGTCAAGGAGGACGTTGGTCTATGGTAGTATGATGCTTAAAGGTGGTTCAAGAACCATCCCACCAAGGAGGAGAGGAAGGTGAACTTGGCGTCTTTCTACTTGGATAGTGATGCTCTATAGTGTTGGGAGTGGTTTGAGCGGTCAAATACGCGGAGGCACATACCATGACTACCTGGCCGAGGTTCCTAGAGGAGCTTTGGTATCGGTTTGGTAAGTCAGAGGGTTGGGCACCGGAGCAGGTGGCTAAACTCTGACAAAATGGGACGGTGACATAGTACAAAGCAGAGTTTCTCAAGGTGGGCAAGTGTAATGGGGTCGATATGACCAAAGTTTACAACTTCAACAATCTTTTTATGCTTTGCTTGATTTCTCCTTTCATGAACTTGAAAATAAAGATAGATACTGAATCAATCGGACAATCCCAACTTGTGACAATGGGAAATTGGAATATGAAACCAATCAGACAGAATCAACTCATGGAAAGGGGCAATTGATATAGGGTATATGCTCACCACAACTAGACACGTTCTCTAGTTGATAAGAGACATGTGAAACCTCATGAAATTTCTTCGACAGAAAGCTTGCACAAATGGTCACTAAGGAACACGAGTAAACACTCTAAACTTTTATTGATAACTTGAATGAATGAGTACAAAATTCGTAGGTCTTACACTCTCTATTGTAGAGGTCACAAAATCATAAAACTAACCTTCTATGATTAGGAAAACAAATCACAAACTAAGCAAGAAACATAAGACTAATTAAATAAGGACTATAACTACTAATTCAACTCCTAGATAACCAAAATAAATAATTAAACAAATAATCCCCAAATTTGCACCGCACCGTTGTATGCTTCCTCCTTTCCTTGTCCTTTGCAGTAGCGAAACTTCTTCTTGTTCTAGTCATCTTTGCACGTGCCCCTTTTCACTGCGGACTCCTCTATTACGCAAATAAAAACTCTTCCGCAATGACAAGCAACCATCAAGCTGTGCAGCTTCATCCCCGACCAGCCAGCCAGCCCGACGCCAATCCTCGACTTGCTTCCCACCATTCTTTTAGGACTTTCTTGTCAAGGAAACTACGTGGAACCCTAGTTTCGGCCCACTTATTAATCATGCATGCAAATAAACATCCATGCCATGCTTGGACCTGCACATTGCTTCCATCCCATTATCTCACATGTGGCCAATTAAATAATGCATGCAATTTGTCTTCACGTTAGCTAGCATAATCCATCCTTGCATGGTCACGTGTAGTTGGCAGCAGTTATGAATGTTTTAAGTGCCATTTATCCACTAATAATCCCAATTGATCATTATATCGTTGAATCTGAATTTTTATTTTTGGACCTTAGGAATTAAATATCGTGCTAGTCGATATCGCATCATTCCCTCTCTCTTGAAGAAGATTCACCCTCGAATCTTTACATGATTTGGATCTCGGATCAACCCTTGACTTCTTGTTCTTCCAACGAAATTGTCTTGATAGTGAGGATTGTATTATTTTGCCATTCTTAAAGTAAATTCGTCCATGAATTATAAAGACTCCATTTTGATAAAAAAAAAACCTCCACGTAGCTCTGAACTTCTCGTCGATTCTCTAAGCGGGCTTCATTTTTTGAAATTGCATCTCTAATCACAAAATCAATATGAGCATGTTTGAGAACTATTGGTAAATGCTTCATAATTTTCGTGGCTTCATCGTCTCTATCGAATTTTGGTTGCTAATAGAATTGATAAACTTCAGGCGCAATCAAAACTGGTACATAAACAAGAACATCTTCTTTCGTCTCTTCAATCAATGTTGATGTCGTTTTGCTTAGTGTGATACTTCGACTATCTTGTAGCTGCTCTTTTGGAACCATCATCTTGTTGTAATAATTCATCACGTCTAAAACTTCTAGACTCTTCTCTTGTACCTCCATAGTAGCTTCAAACGATTGATTTTGCTCATTGTCGAACGTAATCACAATCACCATATTCTCTTTAATCTTTATGGTTCTGAATCCAAATAAAACCACAAATCACACATCTTTGAACAAAGTTCATACAAGGGAGATCAATGGTTTTGACGATCAACGAGATTAACCTACTCCTGTAGAGGTTCAATGAAAGCTCGAAAACTACAACTATGATGGAATTTGCAGAGAAAAAGGTAACGATTAAGATAACGCAGACATTGGGTTGTCTTGTGTTTGGCAAACCCTTGCTTTGTCATCTTCACCTCCTATTTATAGCCAGAAGAAGTAACTTACTTGAGAAACTACTCAGCTAACGTGGAGTGACGGTTACCCTCTCAACTGTTCTAATGATGCTCTGACATTGCAATAATCCCTTATTCAGTGATGGCCCCCTTACCTTGATAGCTCCTCCTTAGTTTTGCTTCTCAGCTGAGAACAATGACTATGGCATGAAAACTCACCTTGTTACATGCGGGTTGGTGTTCGGATCACATGGGTAAAATGAAAAAGACAATTTACCACTTATGATTGTGGGAGTGGCAGAGTGGCTCTCTTGCCACTTGATGACATCTCCTCTCGTCAACGTATGGGGTTTGTCAATCCCCCCTCTTATTAC